AAAGCTTATGCCCAAATAAATTTGTTAGTCTCTAAGGTGCCACAAGGACTCCTCATTGTTTTTGATGATACAGACTAACACGGCTACCACTCTGAAACCTGTCACAAAGAATTGTGTTCAGTACTTAACAGGTCTAAGGCCAGTACCGGGTTTACCATGGTGCCGGGCCCAGAGTTAGAAGAGGCCCCGGCCAGCCTGATCACCCAGATGACTGAGCCAGCCAGGAAAGCTGCCCCTACCCCTGCTCCGCCCCCACCCCGCCTCTTCCCACCCCTGCTCCACCCCTGCTCCGCCCGAGCCCCACCCCCACCCCGCCCCTTCCCCCTCAAGTCCCCTCTCCTGAGCTACGAATCCCGGGGGACTGCAGCAGGGGTCAGGCCCGCCCTGCTCTCACTGGGCAGTGGGAAGTGAATTGACCCGGCCCCAGCCCGCTACGCTCTGCCAGCCTCCAGCCGCGCGGTCAGTGAGTGCAGAGGGGTGGTTCCAGGAGCCAGGGAAGCACAGGAGAGCGGGCTGGGGCCGGGTAACTCCGCTTCCCACTGCCCTGTGAGTGCAGGGTCGGGCCTGCCCTGCAATCACTGGGTGGCAGGAAGTGGAGCGATCCGGCCCCAACCCGCTCTGCTCTGCCAGCTCGTGCTGGGGGGCAGTTCCCCTCCCAAGCCTGGGGAGGAGATGGTGCGGTGGGGAAGGGGCATGGGATGGGGAAGAGAAGGGGGCACAGGAAGTGGGGGCAGGGGGAAAGAGGCAGTGGGGAAGGAAGGGGGTGGGATGAGGAGGAGATGGAGCTGTGGGGAAGGGGCATGGGATGGGGAAGAGAAGGGGATGGGGGAAGCAGGGGCAGGAAGGGGGTGGGATGAGGAGGAGATGGAGCTGTGGGGAAGGGGCATGGGATGGGGAAGAGAAGAGGATGGGGGAAGCAGGGGCAGTAAGGGGGTGGGATGAGGAGGAGATGGAGCGGTGGGGAAGGGGCATGGGATGGGAAGAGAAGGAAATGGGGGCAAAAGGAAAGCTGTAGTCCAGCATGCGGCATCCCCTTGGCAGAAGCTGGGGCTCCCCTGTTAAGCAGGCCCATTGAACCCTCACCCTGACAAGCCCCACCTCCCCTGCATCTGTACCACTCTGATGAGCCCCCCCAGACACCCTCTCCACTGAGCCCCAACCACCTGGACCCCCACCCAAATGAACACCAACTCCCCTGCACCTAGACTCCCTTGCTGAGCCCCAAACACCTTCACCTGGATCCCCTGCAGAGTCCCATTGCCCCTGCACCTGGAACCCCCCAATGAGCTTCTGTGCATCCAGATCTCCCACTGAGCCGCCCGCACCCAGATTGCCCCACAGAGAACTCTCTTACCCCCAACTGGATCCTCCCACACTAAGTTCCTCTGCACTTGGATCCTGCTGCCGGGCTGAGCCTGCTCACCCACACCTGGTGTGCCTGGCACAGGGGGGCAGGGCCCCAGGGTGTTTCTGGGGAAGGCCTGGCCCTTGCACTGTGTCAGGGTCGGGTGCAGCCTCACTGCCAAGTCCCTGTCCCGGGGTGGAGGGAGGCTGCAGGGTCATCTCCCACCTCCATGCAACCAGTGGCCTGTGCACCCCACTGCCATGTTGGAGCCTCCACATTTATTTATTGACAAATAAAATTTGCAGAATTTTTATTTTTTTGGTGCAGAATCTCCTCAGGACTATGGGGTGCTGTGCAGCTGTGATGGTGGGACTGTGGGGAAGATGGTGGGCAGTGGGGAGGTCTATGGGCGGGGGGTGCTGGGCGAGCGGTGTGGTGTGCAGGGTGCTGTGCAGTTGTGGTGGGGGTGGGGGCTGGGCATAGAGATCTGTGGTGGAGATCTCTGGGCGAGGGGGCACTGGGCATAAGGGTGGGGCACAGGGGCAGTGTGGGCCTGCTCAAGGGGAAGGGGGATGCTGGCACCACAGGGCTGGGCAGGCCAGTGTGCATCTGGCAGTTGCAGGTTTGTAAACAGTGCCCTCCTGCTGAGCAGGGCTGCTCCCGCCGCGCTGTGCCTCATTGCCCCCAGCCCGCCCTTCACTCTGGAGACTGACCATCCCGCCCCCCTGCACCTTGTCCCATGGGGGCCCACAAATATGTTTGGCGCTGGGCCCACAAAAAGTTAATCCGGCCCTGTCCAAGGCTGCCGCATTCCAGAGAGTGTGTGTCACAGCCAGCGATGCTGTGACTCGCCTCTTCGCCAGCTGATTAGAATTTCGCACACAACCGGGCTCTGGGGGTTGGGGTGGGGGGACCAATTTGATCTAATCTCAATATACGATTGGGTTAAGGGACTGGCCGATGGCTGCTTTGCCTGTTTTCTTTACCATAGTTACTAACACCGGCCAACAATCGCCTTTCGTTGCCGAATCCCGAATCGCTCTGAATGTCTGGTAATGTCCCCGACCAGCGAAGCGCAGCCAGTTGTAGGTGTCAGTCACCCGCTCGGATAGATGTGCGCAGCTCGGCACTCTGCAGCCACTCACCTGCCGAAGGGCAGCCGGGGCGCCCCATCCTCTGCCTGCCCCGCTCCGGACTGCTGCCGTGGGAGGAGGAACGTCTTTCCCAGCAGCAACCCAGTCCGTTGCCCAGGCTAGCGGCTGCGGGGGCGAGGAAGGCAAAGCAGCCCCCCGGGGCTGGGACCATTCATTCCCCCTGCGGGCAGGCCCTGGGCCGCTCGCACCGAGCTCCGCGCCCTGGCAGGCGGCTGAGTGACAGGTGCCGCGGGGCTGCGGCAGCGGGGACCGGGCTGCTGCAGCCGGGGGAGGGGAAACCTGGGTTCTACCCGCCCCGCCCTCCCGCGGCAGCTCGCTCGCTCGCGCACAGGCCATGCAAGGACAATAGAGCGGCTGGCGCCCAAATAGAACCACCGCTTGTTCTTGAGAAACGAGAAAAAAACCCACCTCACCGCTGATATCGTTGTGCTTCTAATAGGCTTGAGTTAGGAGGGGACTTTCTCTTGGGTGTATTTTTAAAGCCCTTTGGCATCAATAACGGCTTTACGCTGCTGTTAGGACCCGGGCAGCGGCAGCCTAGTTCTCAGCGAGAGCAGAGCGCGGACTGAGCCCGGCGCTGCCGGAGCATCCCGGGGAGCCGCCTTGTTGTGCCGGACCCTCTGCCCGGGCGGGGCGGCCGCGCTGCTGCGGGAAATCTCCCAGCTCCTCGCCGGAGCGCCCCCGCTCGTCCTTCTCTAGCAGCCCTGGCGTCTCATGCACCGCTAGGCAGAGACTGCGCCGGAGTCCGATCTCCCACCTGGGTACCAGCGCTGCTAGTTGCCAGCTCTTGAGATATTTGGTGTGTTTGTTTTCTGAAAGCCCCAACTCCTGGAGTCATGTTATTAAGAAAGAATCTGGCATTTCATTTGAAAAAGGTCCTCATGGCAGCTGAGAAAAGTTGGATACTGGGAACCCTGAAGGATCAAAAAAACAGGGGTAACTAAAGAGACACAAGCATTTATTGGTATGTTGTTGTTGTTTTTTTAAGTCTCAGGCTTTTGCATCCAGTTACCTGATTTTTGGGATTGCCTGACTCATGATTTTTGAACACGGAGGGGTGGCAATAGTGAATTTAGTGATATGGAGGGGGGTGGCTCTCTCTAAAGAGATTCCTGGAAGAGTTTAAGAGCCTGCATTTGCAACCCTTACAAACATGCTTAACTTTACTACCATGAGCAGTCCGTGTGTCTGAAGTCAAAGGGAGTACTTATGCTAGTAAGGCTAAGCACATGCATAAATGTTTGCAGGATGCGTGTCTAGGGAGGCTTTCAGATTCAAGGAAAATTTGACTCCTTATTTACCTTTAGCAACTATCAATATGTATAAAGCCTAAGATCAATAGGAATGTTTCCATGAAATAGTTATTTTAAAAGTTCCAATTAACAGGCTGGTAGGAGGGGGGAGTCTAAGAACCAATACACTTTCCCCTACAATATTTGTGACTCAGGCTGTGCACTCACAAGCTACTGCACACAGACCCCTATGCGTACATGGAGCTCTGTTGAAGCCAACGTAATGTTGTGTGGGGCAGCTTGCAAGATAAGGATCTTAAAGATCGAACAGTGTGTTAACGCATAAGAAAGTGAAATTAACTAGAAAGTCATTAGAAACAAAAGTGAAAAAGAGTAGCCTATTCCCATTGTCCAAGCTGAGAAATGCAAAAATAACAATAAAAAGTACAAAGTAAATTGGATTTTATGTTTTTTATTTAATATTATAAGATGCCATTAGTAAAAGTAAGGACATTTGCTTGAAAATGAACTGTTTTTTAACCTGAAAAACAAATTGGCACTGAAACCAGATTTGAGATTATCACCATCCGTCTGTTGCATTCAACTCTAGTCTTTTATTTTTAAATTAATTAACGAAGATAGAAGATTTACAGTATCCAGTTGTAAATTAAACTGTTTTTCTTATAAGCAGTCATTAGGGATGTAATGGACAGCTGAAATGTGCACTTTTGGCCAGATTTACCACTGTCACTCTTGTTTTACACTGGTAAAACTCTATTAAAATCTGTAGAGTTTCCCAATATGGCACAGAGCTCCATGTCTTGATTTCAAATAAAGATGCCTGACCTGCATGTGCACAACAGACAGTTGCAAAACCTATAATTCCTTGACCTGCCACTGGCTCCCTCCCCTCCTCCCCAAAATAAAAAAGAACCAGAAGTGTGAGTGGCTGTTTAACCCCATAAGGGAAATTTCAAAATAGTTGAAGGCAGAAAAACCACGCCTAAACATCTTCAATGGATTTGCATGTGGAATTAAAAATGTTATTGAAAAGCATTCATGTTGTAATACTCTGTATTTTTTACATGATTCCCAAATTGATTGTGACTGACTGTAAATATATGGAAATGGAGACCAGAGAATTCAGTCTTTGTACTATGGAAGTGTTGCCGTATACAATACAGGATGGGGTAAGGAGAATTACTATGCAGAAGTTCCTTAAACCCTCTAGCCAGAGCCCTGAAATTGGAATTTAGGCTCTCAACCTGGGAGGGAGGGGGAGATCCCGAGCGGCCGCGGCACGGGCGCCGCTTCTCCCCCTCCCTCCTAGGCTCGAAAGCCTGGGGGGAGGAGGCAGGGAAGGGGCGGAGTTGAGGCGGGGTTGGGGGTGGGGTAACTAAAAAACGGGGGGGAGGGGCGGCCAAAATTGTTTTCGCTTTGGGCGGCAAAAATCCTAGAGCCGGCCCTGATTAATATCATTATGAAAAGTATGTATTGGCACTCTGTGGGGGATTGTGGATGCTCATTGATATTGGGCTGTGCAGTCTGCCCAGACAGGAGGGAATGTCACAGCTATCTACTTGTCTCCGGTGTAAATTAAGCACTGTGGAATAAAAAACAATGGAAGCCCCATTTATGTAGAAATCATTCAGGGGGATGGGAAGCCCGCAGGACGAGAAGAACAGCATGAGGTCCCCCTGCCTCTTGAAACAAGTCAATTGAACTTTGGAAGATATAAGCAAGGACAGAAGCCATCTCTAGCATCCATCACTAGAAAGACACAAGGGAAGAGAAGGTTACTCACCCTGTGCAGTAACTGAGGAGAATCTGTGATAGGATGAGTTATCTCCCTGCTTGCGGAGGTGTGCCATCATTACCACAAACATTTTGGAAAACACCAATGGTGCTGTCAAAAGGCCAAAAGGTAGAACTTTGTATTGCTAATGTTCTGTTCCCAGAGTAAATCTGAGGAACCCCCTGTGAGTGGGATGTATGAAAATAGGTGTCTTGGAGGTAAAGGGCCAAGGACCAGTCCCCCTGTTCCAGTGCTGGTGTTATTGCTAAAGTGACCATCCTGAACCATTGGACCCTTACAAATTTGTTGAATTGTCTGAGGTCTAGAATAGGTCTCCATCCTCCGTTCTTTTTCTGGGTTAAGAAGTAGTGAGAATAAAACAACTTCCCACTGATGGCACCAGCTCCACAGCACCCAGATTTAGGAGGTGGTTTACTTCTTGCCATAGAAGATGTTTGTGAGAGGGGTTCCTGAAGGGGGGCGGGAGGTGAATCAAATAGCCTGTGTGGATTATTTCTAGAACTCATTTGTCTGTGGTGATGGATTTCCACGCCGAATAGAAAGGAGTCAAACAATGTCCAAAATGGAGATGGTTAGTGATGGTGTCAGCACTGAGGAATGGGGGAGGTCTCTCAGACCCTTGACCAAACCCTCAAAATTGTTGTTTTGCAGAGGATTGCTGGGACACCAATGGTTGAGCTGGAGGTGGTCGATACTTTGGAAGTCTCTGTCTGAGCTTTTGTGTGTCATATTGCCTCTGTTGTTGGGTGTATGGGGCAGACCTTGTATGCTGGCTGGGATAGTATTTACCCTGTTTTTTACTTGATACAGGTGTGTATATCCCAAGGGAATGAAGGGTCACCTAAGTGTACTTCAAGGTGTGGAGGGACTTGTCAGTCTTTGCTGTGAACAGCTTCTGGCCATCAAAAGGGAGGTCTTCCATGGTGGGAACTGGACAGATTGAAGCCATGAAGCTCGGCACATAACCATGGTATTGGCTGTGGAGAGTGCTGCCATGTCTGCTGCATGTAAGGAAGTCCTGGCTAGGAGATGGCCCTCCGGGATGATGGCTTTAAATTGGTCTCTTTTGTCCTATGGTATGTAGTCAATAAAGTCCATCAGTTTGGAATAATTTGTGTGATCATATTTCGCCATCAGTGCAGCATAATTGGCAATCCAAAATTGAAGAATGGCTGATGAATAGATCCAACTGTTTCCATTCTTTGTCATATGGGGTGGATCTGGGTTGGTGTTGTCTGCCTCGTTAATTGACGACATCAACCACTAAAGAGTTTTATGTGGGGTGAGAAAATAAAAAGTCCAGCCATCCACTTTGAGGGGACATAATATTTTTTTTCCATTCTCTTGCAAGTGGACAGTATTGTTGCCAGGGTCTGCCATATGTTTGTAGCCAGCTCCATAAGTGCCTCGTGTATTGGAAGTGCAATTTTCGATGGAGATGAAGTTTGGAGAATGTCGAGTAATGTATGTTGGAACTCTCAGACTTCCTCTAGAGGGATCTCTAGGCGATTCTTTTGAAGAGCTCCTGGAAATGTTTGAAATCATCTGGAACTGTGGGTGGTGGGGGCATTATGGCCTTGTCTGGGGAAAAGGAGGAAATGTTGACTGGTGGTGTCGTTTCTTGTTTCAGGGCCTCCTCTTGTTCTTCAAAGCTTTCCTCAGGGTGCTCTGATGGTGCAGCCACTGAAAGTAGTGGGGGAGATCTAATCCTCTCCCTGTAGGAGCTTGGGGGCCAGGGTACTGTTCCTGTATGCCCCTCAGTAGAGCCAATGCATGGGGAATGGCATAGGCATCCATGGGTGGCCATACCAGGTCTAGGTGTCAACCCCGTGGTGAGATTTAGGCTGTACAGATAGGCCTAATGCTGAAGTATGGATGGGAGACGAATGGTGTGATGAAAAAGCACCCTTCTCCTCACTGTCTTCTTCCTTGCTGGAAAATGAAGGAGCCAGAAGTGAGGTGGGTTGACATGGTACCGTGCATACCAGAAATACGTCAGTACCGAAGAGTGGTGATTACGGCGTCGCTGAGATAAGTAAGGTTGATGCTCTTTTCCTTGCTGCCTTTTTGGAGGAGTGAGCCTTCCTCTGTGAGGAGGGTGAAAGTTGTCTTTCAGAAGGGGTCGTACGAGACTGTTGTCCGG